TTTCACATGTTGAGTAAGGCCAGACCTGCCTAAAATAGCTGCCCCATTGTCCATTCCCAGTAGCAGTGCATGCAGATTCCCGTTTCTTCACATCCTTGCCAAAATGTATGGTTTTTCTGGACTCTTGGTTCTGTGCCAATACTATGTGTCTATCCTTAGGCCAGTACCACACTGTCATGATTATTGTAGATTTATAGTAAATTTTAAAATCAGGAAGTATGAGTCTTCCAACTTTGTTCTTTACTATATAGATTTGCCTTTTCTGGACATTTCATATAAATGGAATCATGTAACATGTGGTCTTTTGTATCTTGGCTTTTTTCACTTACCATGATGATTTTGAGGTTAGCATGCATCAGTACTTCATTCCTCGTTATGGCTGAATATTCTGTTGTATTGATACATTTTATTTATCTATTAGTTGATGGACATTTGGGTGGTTTCTGCTTTTTAGTTATGAATGGTGCTTCTATGAACATTAGTATACAAGTTTTTGTGTGAGCATATATTTTCATTTCTCTTGGGTATATACCTAGGAAGATCGCTTTGGCTATCCTGAGTATCATTTCCATGAGAATTTTAAGGCAGGCTTGTCAGTTTCTGAAACCAAAATACTGGGATTTTGATAGGGCTCGTGTTGAATCTATAGGTCAATTTGGGTAATATTGACAGCTTTAGGATATTAAACTTCTGATCCATGAACATGAGATGCCTTTTCATTTATTTAGGTCTTCTTGAAGTTTGTTTTTTTTTTAAAGATGTTCTGTAGTTTGCCGTGTACAAGTCTTACGTGACAAAGACTATGCTTGACCAAAGGTTACACAGGCTCCTCTGAGCCCTCTGTTTGACCAGGCTTCATCCTTGGGCCCTGTCCTTGGCCTGCCTAAGCCAGTTTTAGCAAAGAATCCTGTTAAGTCAATCCCCTACCCTTGATATCTGATCACCCTTGATAGCTGACCAAAGTTCCTCATCCCCTACCTTTGATGTGTAAATCTTTGGCCTGCCCTTTACAGAGATGCTTTAGGCCAGTTTAGCAAGATTCCCTTCCCTTGGTTTCACTTCCTAGTAATTTTCCATGCACTGACCATCCCCTCACTCTGCTCCTCTTTTTTCATTATTGAGATATAATTTACATACAAAATCCTGTGAGTTTAAGGGGTACAACATGTTGATTTGATACATTTATATATTGACTAGGTTTCATGGGACCTCCACGTTTAACATTTTTTGCTTTTATTTAATTCTTAAAAATTTTTTTATAGTTGATACTATTACAGATGTCTCCCATTCCCCCCCTTTACTCCTCTCCTTCCAGCCCGTACCCACCCACTCCCAGGTCTTCACTCCCCTATTGCCTGTGTCCATGGACTATGCATATAAGTATATAAGTTCTTTGGTTTCTCTCTTGTGTGTCTTTAAGGCTTTCCTTCTAAGAGTCAATTAACAGAAAATGGAAGAAGTGATCACATTTTCTCTAGAAAACAAGTGCTTCTCCACCCACAAGCCCGCGATGCTCTCAGCCACTGGTCTCCCAGGGCTGAAGATGGCAGAGCCCACCTGCTGGGTGAGCAGGCCTGGTACCTGCCCCCCACAGCCAGTTGGAAATCCTGTTGTGTGGCATTTAAAAAGCAGGCACCTTATTTCTGTGGCAGGGGGTTCTGAGGGAAAAAAGAATCCATGCTCAAAAGGAAAAAATATTTCCATGTGGTAAGGAAAGTGCCTGGGAGAGTCCCCTCAGGTTGATTTTTCAAATATCGTTTGTCCTCACCCAGACCCT